ATCATACTAAGTGAAGTAAGTCAGAAAGAGAAAGACAAATATCATATAATACTGAGTTGTTTTGAATCACTTGTTTCCTTTAAAGACTACCTAGTGAGCTCCATGTGGTTTGTTATAGTTTGGATTGATGGAGCTGCTGGAGAAATCTGGAAATACACTTATTTATTCTGTAGCACACGCATACTGGTCTCTGTCCACACCATCCCATGTGTGATCCATCACCTGCCTGCAGCCTGATCCCTTGCCCAACCCTCCGGCTGAAGGTTGACCCTGCCGTGTTCCTGAGGAGGCCCAGATGTCAAGGAGAGAGAGGTTTTCTTCAGCTACACCCCCCCGTCCCAGCTCTCTCCCCCTCCATCTCCTGTGTCTTCAGCCCCCTTTCTCTGACAGTATCAGGAGAAACCCCATAGAAATTCAAGGCTGTCACTGGGCTCACGAACTAGCTCTTCCCTGTGTCTGGGGAGCGTGTGTTTCCCTAGCTGCCCTTCTCTGACCCTCCATCTCCCCCTCCTCCACCTGGGGCATCCTTCCCATCTCCCCCTCCATCCAACCTCCCTCCAGAGAGAAGGGACATAGACACTGTCCTCTAGGAAGAAGGGGATTTGGGCTTTTCTTGGAACTTTTAAGAGACTGGTGTGCTTGATGTGCAGAACACACATTAGGATATTTTAGTTTTAGGGAACCTGAAGTCTCTTTACCAAAAGCATCCCCTCTGTGTGTCTCGGCCTCTCTCTCTGGCCTGCATCCTGGGTGGACTGTTGTAGGTGTGAGGCCCATGCTGCAGCCCTACAGGCAATATTGTGTTAGATTCACGTGGTTGCTCAGGTGAAAACATTTCATTAAGCATAATCACCAGTGGGCACAATGACTCCACTTGTTGTGGACATGACTTCTGGCCACACCCACCTTAGCAATCGGAGGTGGACACCAGGCGAGTGCATCAGACAATTCCTGCCAAAACAAATACTCCCATTCATTCCTTGAAAGTTTTGATTTTTTTCTTGACCAGCGGTAGGTTATTATCTTCAAGTGTCTGTGTTCATGCCCCCCTGAAAGCATGTGCCTGATTCCATGGCCACTTTCTCTGCAATGGTGTGGTTCAAGGACAGAGGCCAGGCATCCACCCATGGGTTCTCACATGAATCCTCTCTGTGTGGACCCTTAAACCATTCTAGTTTTGTCATCCCTGTGTTGAGAAGGCAACTCTGCTCACCCTGCACAATCAGTGCTGTGGTCTTTGTCCTCAGAGTAAAACCTCAGGAGTGGATACATCCTCTCCTCACATGCAGTTTTGCCTGGCAAGTATCAGGAGGGGCCCTGCTGGCATTCTTTGTCTTGACCGCTGCCCGTCTGGAAGCGCCCGCCTCACACCTGGAGACCATGCACGCTTCCATTCCACCTCCCACCATTGTGGGCACATTTGGGGTTGAGAAGGTGCCCCATGGATTGTGCTTCACCCAGGATGATGTTGGGCTGTGGTCTTGGATGCTCTGGCCCTGACGATGGCCCCAGAGCAAATCCCATTACTGAGAAGCCAGGTAGTGGTGGCCTCTTTTGATGAGCTCAGAATAAAAGTTCAAGAAAAAAATCAGGCAACAGAGAGAACACTGACCTGGGGCTGGGGAGGCCTGGGTTCCAGGCTGATGGCTGTTTTTAGTCATCATATCCTCACAAGTCACTTAATCTCTCTGGGTCTCACTTACTTGTTAATGGTAAAGGGTTGGGTGGAATTATCTTTCTTGTCCTCAGCAGATCAGAAATGTGTGGTTCTCACCTAAGCCACTGGGTCAACACTCAGATGACCCACTGCCTCAATCTCCACATCGTCATGTCCTGGGGTGTGTGTGCTGGTCTCCTTGGGCTGCCTTAACAAAGTGTCACAAACCACGGGGCCTAAACAACAGGCATTTACTGTCTCTCAGTCTGGAGGCGGGATGCCCCGGACCCAGGTGTGGACAGGGCCATGCTCCTTTTGAAAGCAGCAGGGTGGGATCTGCTCCAGGCCACTCTCCAAGCTTCTGGAAGGTCCTTGGCGGTGGCTGCGGAACTCCAGTCTCTACCAGGTCTTTTCCCTGTGTGTGTCTGTGTCCAAATTTCTCCTTTTCATGACACCCGTCCTATTAGATGAGGGGCTCTGCTCCACTACGACCTCTCCTCACCTAGTTACATCTGCAATGACCCTATTTCCAAAAAAGGTGACATTCTGAGGTCCAGGGGGGCAGGGGGTGAGGACTTCACATATGACTTTCTTGGGAGGGGGTGACACAATTCAACCCATAATTGTGAGTCTGGCATGAGGATGCGTCAAGGCGATGGGGACAGGGGGGGCAAACACACCCCTTTAGTAAGCATAGCGCGAGCCGCCACGTGGTGGCCTTGGCATGGCCAGTGATAGAGAGCTCAGGTGCATGTCAGGAGCTCGGCGGAACCGGAGTCACCTCTGCCTTTGTCACCCGTGTCAGTCTGGGAGGGTGACACCACCCCTTCTCCCACTGCTGCTCTGGCCAGAGCCCATCAGGGGAGAGAAGGAGGCCGGGGGCGAGGAGGGGGTCGGGCCAGAAGCAGAAGACAAGAGAGGACTGAGACTCATGCTCACTGGCTGAGGCCGCCACCCGCCTCTGGAGCACAGAACCCTCTGGTTGCCCGCTGTTGGAAACTTGAGCTGGAGTCTGGTGGAGCCTGGAGAGTGGGGAAGGTGTGCGGGGAGTGGGCTCCAGGCCTCAGCGAGAGAGAGTCCCCGGGAGCAGGGCGCCACCTCCAGGGCCCACATCCCAGGGAGCATCTGACCAGCATCCCAGGCCGGCCCTGCCCTGATTTCCTGGGAGGGACATGAGGAGATGACCGAGGCTTCGTCTCAAGTCCCTACACTAAAGAGCAGCCCCCGTGGGGAGAAGCTACCAGAAGTTTTCACTTGCTTGTTTGCTGCTCCAAATGCTACTCTCGCTGAATCCAAGCTGCCCACCCGTCCCCCTCCCCCTCCCCTCCCCCTTCCACCCTTCCCCCTCCACCCCACTCCCCTCCTCCCCTCCGCCCCCCTCCTCCCCCCATCCCCCCACCCCGAGAAACGCACTGCTTTTCTGTATCCATGAGGGCCATCCTGCAGGGCCTGCTCCTATCTCAGCTGTCTTAACAGTGAACCATAGAGCTGAGCGGCCACAGAAAAGTTAAAGATCTAGAAGTTCGAAAACATCGGGCACTTCCCCACGTGGGTGACTTGAATGACTTAGTGACACTTAGCCACGTTCTTTGTGCAGAAGTGGCCCATAGTGAGATCCCCGCTGGTTTTCAGGGGCCCATCGGGGACGTAGGAAAGAAAGGAGGTGACGTGTGGGCCCTATTGCCTCCACGTGGGAGGACAGAGGTTTTGTTGTTTTGCTTTTTTTGGAAAAAAGGCATTCCTTTGAGAATGTTCTCCATTTGTTACTGGGATATCCCCGCGGGTCTATCACATCTGCCTTGTGTCCTCGGGAGACCCCATGGAAAGGGGCAGAGCTCGGTGCCCTGGGGATGGCGATGGGGGCACACAGGTTAGGAGTCCCCAACACACACCCCACAAGATACATGCATTTAGCCCGTCATGTGCTTGGCAGGGCTGCTCAGTGTCAGGGGTCCCAGGGCATCTGTGTCCCCACCGAGTGCCTTTCCCACAACATCCGGAAGCCTCCTGGATGATAGGGTTGCGGGGCGGGTTACAGAGGGAGCATGTGGACTGCAGGTGCTCTTGACCTTCAGCCTGGTGGCCCTGAAAGGCCTAATGACATTTTAAGAATTTATTTATTCGACAAATACTGATTAAGGACCTGCTGCAGGTAAGGCATTCTTATCCTGGACACAGAGTGGACAGAATAGGAGAAAAGCCTCCTCTCACTGGAGTGGACACAGGTGTGTGGGGCAGATAATCAAAAACTAAATAAACGATGCCTCCATGTGTCTGAGGCAGATCAACACGGGGCCATGACTTAGGGATGGGGACGGAGGTGCTGCCACTTTTAACTAGGACTGCGAGAAGGCCTGGCTGCAAGAGACCAGAAGACAGGGAGGGAGAGAGAGCAGGAACGTTCCAGATGGTGGGAAGAGCAGGGTCAGGGCCCCAGGGAGGCCAGTGTGTTTGAAGCCAGTGGGGTGAGTGAGGTGACTGAGAACAGCCAGGTAGGGAGGGTGGGCGAGGCTGGGACCTGTGGGCACATCAGGACCATGGTTCTTCTCTGGGTGCCCCAGGGGGCATTGAGGGTTTGGGGGGAAGGGCAGATCTGAGGTCCATCTGCAGTGGATTCAGGCCTGAGAATGGACAACAAGGACAAAGACAGACCCAGCTGGGGAGAGAGAGCCACAGTCCAGGGTGTGGGTAGGGCTGGGTGGGAGCAGAGGAGGAGTCCAGTGGCCCTGTTGGGATGGCTCCAAGGCTCTGGACAGGTGTTTGCCATGAGGGGCCCTCAGAGTAGCTCCACTCTGAGCAGCTTCACCATGAACATTTAGGGCCTGACTCCTAGGAAATGATGTCCTTCCAGGACACCGCATCTCTTGCTTCCACTTGCTTCCTATGAGAGAGGTCAAAGCGATAGCTTTAAAAAATGGATTTATCATACAGTTGAAAACACGTTAGCCTTTGTAAGTGAAAACAGATAAAGGATGTCGAAAATGCTGGAACCTCAGAGTGTGTTCTGTGCTCATACAGGCTATGTGAAAGCATCATTTGAATATTTTAAAGCCTTCTTTTTTTTTTTGTTAAAAACACACTGTCTTCTAGAACGCAGACCCCATGAATCACCTTTTTTAAAGAGGGGGGTGTGGTTTAAAGTTCCCATGCAGCCTACGTCACGAATAAGCTGCTACTGAAACATCCTGTGCTCTTGATAAAGTTCTAAGACCTTGGCGATTGTCTTTAGCATGAGAATCATACACAAATCCCACATGTGAACTGTTTAGACTTCCATTTTTAATTATTCATGAAATGTGCAGAAACATGGTCCAATGCACATTTGAGCAAAATTGGCTAATGCCCGTGAACAAATCATAATCACCTCACCAGGGGGTCGGGGTGCAAGCTCCCCTTGAATCTGTGCCTTATTAGAACCTGCTGCTGCCACACTGACAGCCAGCCCATGGTGACGGGTCCCCAGCTCCCAGACTTGGGGGCCTCGGCCGTGACGTCTCTACTCTCTCGACCCAAAGGGAGCTGCATTCAGCAGGTTTCTCAGATTCAAGGTTGATGTATCTGTGCTGAAGATACAGCCCGGCAGAAGGGCATGTTTCAGCTTTGGCTCCTGGAGGAAACTTAGCTTCTGGTGTGACATCATACATGACGTGGCTTCCCTGTGGGTCCATCTGTGCAGAAGCAGGGGTAACCGCCAGGAGACTCCAACTCTTATGGGATGGAATGAAGTGAGCTTACTAACACTGATGGTCTGAAATTAAAAGGAAAAATATCAGGAAGCCAAGATGGACACAGATATGAACAGGTCACCCACACAAGAGGAAAATGTTCAAACTTATTAACTAGCAAAGAGATGTGAATTACAATGGCACACATCCAATTGCCTTTGGAAGATATTTATTAGCACTAATTATTGTCAGGCATTCTTCCAGACTCTGAGGATACAGAGATCTATGAGATAAGTGTCTGTTCTCCAGGGATCCTACTCCAGTGGAGAGGGATGGACAAACAAACACACAAGACCCCAGGGAATGATGAGTGATGGAGATAAAGCAGAGTGAGGTGTCAGGAGATGTGGTCTTGGGTAGCAGGCTGGAGTTTAGCAGGGACCAGACCAAAATCAGCTAAGGGAGTGTCTAGGCAGAGGGAGTGCAGGTGGTCTTGGCAGGGTCTTCTGCAAATTCAAGGACAGGGGGAGGTGGTATTGTGGTAGCAGAGTGAGGTAGGGATGATAAGATGGGGGGAGTAACAGGTAATAAGGCCAGAGAGGAAGCGGGGCCAAGCCTCCACACTCAGGGAGATGGGAAGTCCCATCAATGGGATTCCACATTGTAGTTGCAATATGGATATATTTTAAAGTAGAAATGACAGAATTTTTTCTTGAGTTACACATTGAGTGAAAAAAGAGAGAGAGAGAGGGAGAGAGAGAAAGGATTTAATTATGACTCTAAGATCTTCGTTAAAACAAATTGAAGAATGTAGTTATAACTTACCAGGATGGGGAAAATTATGGGAGAAGAATGTTTGGGGATAAAGATGGAGTTCCTTTTAAGACATGAAGATTGAGATGCTTCTTGAACATCTAAGTGGAAATATTGAGAATGTAGCTGGACTTACAGGACTGTAGTTCAGGAGAGAGGTCTGGATTGGAGGGATAATTTGTGAATCATCTGTGTATAGGTGGAATTTTTAAATGACATTTGAGTGTTATCCTCTAAGTAGTGCAAGTAAAAGAAACACTCAGTGAGGTAGAAGAACTAGGAGTAACTTTTCAAGAGCCAGTGAAGGAGGTTTTTTTTTTTTTTTTTGAAAGAGCAGTTGATCACATGTCAACTATTATTAACAGCTCAGATAAGCCAAGATCAGAGAATTGCCCACTGGTTTATGTTCTGGACTGAATTGTGCCCCCCGAAAATTGATATGTTGTAGTCAAACCACTGGTATCTCAGAAAATGACTGTATTTGGAGATAGGGAATTTAGAAAGGTAATTAAGGTAAAGTGAGGTCACACAGGTGGGGCCCTAATCCAATATGACTGGTGTCCTTATAAGAATAGGAGATTAGGACACAGACACAGGGAGAAGACAGCTGTCTACATGCCAAGGGGAGAGGCCTCAGAAGAAACCAGTCCTGCTGACATCTTGGACTTCCAGCCTCCAGAACTGTGAGAAAATAAATTACTGTTGTTTAGGCCACCAAGTCTGTGGCACTTTATCACAGCAGCTCTGACAAAGGAATACTCACTTGTCATATGCAGTGACTCGGCACAATGTTTTTGGCAGACTTTGCTGGTTAGCAGACCAATATTGATTCCTCCTTTCTCTACTGAACTGATCACTTTTGGGTGACCATGTACCTGACTCTGAAGGATAGTCCATGATGGTCCTTTCCTCTTTGCCAGTGATTTAGTCCAGGGACCAAGTTCTGTTAAGAGATGTAAGAGGACATATGCTAGGGCTTCTGGTAAAGGGCCTCCTCCTCGACAATGGAGAGATGCATGAGTAGATGGTCCTGATGCTGCCCCCTCTTTGCTTCCTTCTCTGGATTCTGACAGCCAAAGACTGAAACTAGAAATTAACAACTAAAAGTGCCTCCATCCCGACCCATTCAGAATCAAACAACCCACATCCAATTCACAAGTTAAAGAAATCACAGTGGAGTTATGACCATACATGTAAAAATATAAATATTGTAAAAGGACAGCAAATCAAATTTAACAGAAAAAGGCAGAAAAAAAAATCAAAACTCTTTAGGGGAAGAGAACATAATTCAGAAGCCCTACAATAAATCATACACTAACTCCAGCACATGTTAAAATTATATATATATAATCAAAAAGCAAGAAAAAATGGCAAAGAATCAAGAGATAAAATATTCAATAGAAGCAAATAAGAGATAAATCAAATATTGTCATTAGTGGGTAAACACTTCAAAATAAGTATGACTAATATGGACAAATGGACAAACAACACTGAGCAAAATATAATCAATAAGCATTCTAGAAAGACAAACTGCACAATATAATTTTTTTTAAAAAGTATATTGACTTAATTTTAAAATTAAAGCAGAAGATAGAATTTATAAACTTGAAAATAATTCAGAATATAGTACTTGGGCTCGACTTTAAAGATAAGAAAGAATGGAAACAGCAGAACAGAGCATGAGCGAAATATGAGTGAAGATATGAATGAGAGAATGAAACAGAAGCAATATTGAAAAGTAATTTCCCAGAACTTTCCAAATGATAAGACATCAACTCACAAACAACTAATCTGCTTACAACTCAGCAAATTCAAAGCACAATGCAGAGATAACTGCAATTAATCACATCATTGTCTGATTGTTTAAAACCAAAGATAAAGGGGAATATTAAAAGCACTGGGGCTGGAGTGGGCATCCATTAACTTCAGGGGAAGAGGAGGGATGACCACCTGAAGCTCTGAAATTCTATCCTCAGTGAAAATATTGCTCCAACATTACAGGAAAATAAAGATCTTTTTAGACAAAAGCTGAGAGGATTTGTTTCCATCAGATTTCACACTACTGAAAATATGAAAGGGCCTTGTTCAGGAGCAAAGACAAGGATTCCAGAAAAAAGTCAGAGAACTGGGGAAAAAGAAAGGTCATTGAAAAAGAAACATGTATCAATAATTTTATAATATATTGTCTTTAAAACAAAAATAATAACAATGAGGGGCTTATAACCTGTATAGAAATAAAACATATGACAATATGTGAAAGAAGAATTGGTGTAAAATCAAGTTAAATTGCTCTTAGAGGTTTCATTGTTTGGGATGTAGAAAAGTGCCAACTTAAAGGAGTTAATGATAGGTAAGGATCCATTTTTAAAAATTTTTGAGATGACCACAAAGTGATAATAAACAAAATTAAAAAATCTACTAGAACAGATAAAATGAAATAATATACTGAATTAATTAAAAAGAAGAAGTTTAGTGGTGTATATAAAAGTAATATGTAATTAACAAGTAGCATTTATATTTGGATGATTTGGCATGTGAAATTCTATCAACCTAGTTCACCCAGATTAATATGTTAAAAGAGAAAAAATAAAACATGTTATCTCATTAGAGAGAGAAAAATATATAAAATTCAACATTCATTCAAGAAAAATTCTTAGAGAACTAGGAAGACATCTTTATTGCAATAAAGCTATCCACTAAAGGCTGCATACTCCTTAGCAATGGGAGATTAGAAGCATTTTTATTAAATCAGGAAGAAATCAAGGTTACCTCTCATCACTCTCTTCTATTTAACATTATTTTTACAATCGCCAATTCAAAGACATTATATATTTAAAAAATAAATATGATGAATAGGCATTGGTAAGGATGAGACACTATTTTCCTTGTTTCTAGAAGACATGAGCATCTATACTGAAAATTCCAGAAAATCAACTAACTCTTGCTCACTATAAACTATTCATCAGGATTTCAGGATAGAAAACAATATAATACCAATAACAAGAAAAACAGCCGTATTCACTTCCTCCAAACTCACCATACACACGAAGGTAAAGATACAACTTGTACAACAGCAACAAAAATTCTAAGAATAAATCTATGAAAATAGGACTGGGAAATTTATGGGAGAAATTATAAAAAAAAATATTGAAGTCTTTTAAATATAACTACTTAGAAGTACCCTCACCTCAAGTGTGTGAGTTCTGTATGAAGAAAGTTGAAAGCTTTACTGGCAGGAAACATCATGACAAATGAGGAGGGGTCTTTGCTGTTTCTGACTTGGGGAGGGAGGGACTGGGTGGGACGTGTCGTCACACTGCCTGCACCATGCGTCAGCTCCTCCTCTGTTCATTGTGAAACCCAGGCAAGTTGCCCAACCCCTTCTGCCTCAGCTTTCTCTTCTAGAAAATGCTGACAACAGCACTGATGCAATCAAGGTACAAGGATACATAAAGCACAGTTGCTTTGTTTCTCACCACACAGAAGAGCCCCAGAAATGCGAGCTGCCCTCTCCCACACTTGCCCAGACATAAGGTTGGTCCCCAGCCCAGGTTTTCACCAAGACACAAAATGTTCTAAACTTCAGCTGGAACATAACAACAAGAGTTGACAACAAAATGTTTAAAAATGAGGATGCAACTAGAGGTCGTCATACTAAGCGAAGTGAGTCAGAAAGAGAAAGACAAATACCACGTGATATCTCTTACATGTGGAATCTAAAATATCACAGAAATGAACTTATCTACGGAAGAGAAACAGACTCAAAGACATAGAGAACAGACTTGTGGTTGCCAAGGGAGAGGGGGAAGGGATGGATTGGAAGTTTGGGGTTAACAGAGGAAAACTATTATATAGAGAATTGATCAACAACAAGGACCTACTCCATAGTGCAGGGAACTATATTCAATATCCTATGATAAACCATAAGGGAAAATAATTTTTTAAAAAGAATGTAAAAAAAAATGAGAATGTTGAAGGGGGTCTAGTCACTCTCAATATGAGATGACATTGTCCACTGACCAGTACTCACCCCCAAGCCGATGGTCAGGAGAACAGAACAGGCTCCTTGAAGCTGACCCTACTCTGGTTCAGTACTTGTTCTGTGGCTATAAATGCAACTAACAGAATAAGGAGGGACACATTATTCAGAAAATAAATTCCCAAAATAAGTATTTGAAAAAGATGATAGAAACTCAAATTATATCCTTTGAAAAATATTCTTCAAGTGGATTAAGAAATTACTGTACAGAATAAACTATTTTATCTTTATCTGATCTGAGGAATGAGACATTTCAAGCACATTTAGCAATGGAAAATCTCCACTGCAATGGAAGGTTATGATATTAAAAATATCCTAAATGGAGAAAAAAAATATTTTTACAAATCCATTTTTTTCAAGTGAATTTGTAATCCATGTGTCAGATTATTATTCTTAAAGCATAATTTCTACCAAAAAAATCAATGGAAATAAAAAAAGACACACATGGAAATATAAGGTTAGAAACAAAAATACTCCAAGTTAGGAAATTATTTTCCAACATTATTGCATCCAGATAAATTGCAAGTTAAAGCTTTGCCTGGTCTGCCGGGTTTCAGCAGGCAATGCTGAGTCCTGTCCATGACGCCCCGGGCCACCTCTGTCTGAGTTTCAGCAGGATTTTCAATCTGGCACACATTTTCCATACAGCAGTTTGACGATGTGTAGTAAGAGCTTTTGCACGTCCACAATTTCAGCCCTGCAATTCCACTCGAGTAATCTCTCCTAAGAAAAGACTCAGGGATACAGTCAGCAGTCTCAGCTGAGATCATGGTCTCAGCCTTGTTTGTAGGAGTGAGAAATGCACCTATGCAAATGTCCGGGACAGAGAAATGTAAACATGGGAGAGTGTATCAGGGAAATGTAGGTACCCATAACAGCTGCAATTTTCATGTGCTAGAGAGACATCTATGCATTACAAATATTAAGAAGTGTTTCAAACATGAATCATGATTACTTCAGAGAGAGTCTTCCACTTTACAAGATAATATAATAATTTTATAATTGAATAAACATCATTACAGTAGCTTAAATTAACTTTAAAAATACACATTGTGGGCTTCCCTGGTTGCCCAGTGGTTGAGAGTCTGCCTGCCGATGCAGGGGACACGGGTTCGTGCCCCAGTCCGGGAAGATCCCACATGCCGCGGAGCAGCTAGGCCCGTGAGCCATGGCCGCTGAGCCTGTGCGTCGGAGGCTGTGCTCCACAGTGGGAGAGGCCACAACAGTGAGAGGCCCATGTACTGCAAAATAAATAAATAAATAAAAATACACATTGTGACCATTTAAAACCGTACCTGTGGGGAGGGAAGGAGAGAGACAGGCACCCAGTAGATGAAATTGAACAAGCATGGTCCCCCCAGGAAGTCGTCCCAGTAAGGGCACCCCTCTACCCAGGAAGCCCCAGAAGGCACATGTCCAGTGGTCTCCCAGAATGGCCCCACCCCCTCCCTGAGCCTCTTCTTAGGGTCTCCACTATAAACTCAGGAGAAAGACAGGACTGCAGTCTTCCTTTGTCGCGTCTTCAGAGGCTGCACCTTTGGGGCAGGGAACATCAGTTAAAGATCAGGGGCTTAGCAAGAGGCTGGGGGTTGCCCTGCAGTTGGCTGACCTTGCCTGCTGCACCAAAGCCCCATGTCTATCTTTATTGATTAGCTTCTATTAATAACCCTGTAGGATTGGCAGGCATGTTGCAGGGCTGGCTGAGAGACTGTGGCCAGAGGGGTTAGGGAAACAGTCAGCATCCCTGACTGAGGCCCTGAGTCACTAATAAAGAGCCCGTGGTGTGTTTTGTAACTTGGGAGCCTGGGCCACGGCTCACTTCAGCTGGGTAATTATTGAACTGACCCTTGTAATATTCAAATAACTATCACTTCCTTTCTAAGATCTGACCTTTGCCTGGCTCTCCTTGGAGCAGTTTCCCAACCCTGGGGATGTCTTGTTGTGGAGTCTGTGTCTCAGGAGCCCCCTGAACACCAGAGGCAGGAAGGATGAGGCTGTGAATTAGAGAGTCGAATCAGGCTCCAGTCTTCTGCCTTCAGGTGAGGAGGACCTGCAGCCACCATGGTCCTGGGAGCGTGTGAAAGCTCCGTGAGACAGCAAAGTAAAGAAATATGCAGTGTCTAAATCAAGGCACTGCACTCAGCTAACCTAAGGGAATTGTCCGATATTCTGCAATGCAATGAAATGTGACTTTGGTAAACCTCTCTGTTTGAAACAACAATACACAAATGAAGCAGTAAAAATTCCAGGGACATCATGAGGTGGTCACATAGATGTATGGAAACAGAAAGGCATAGTAAACACATTTGCTCTGTAGAGATGCAAAGGGAGGGATAGAGATGGGAAACATCCTTAAATGAAGGGATTTGAGACCTCAAAGTAAGTGAGAGGGATGAATAGCTGTCTGTTTATGCCTCAAATAATAAAGCATTAAAAATGTTGATTTGCCTTTTTATCTCAATTTTGTTGTTGTTGTTGCTCGTAATAACTATTTCACAATGAGCTACTGTCAAGACAGAAAACTCACAAGGTCAAGATCTGAGCAGGTTATCTGGGTTCTAAAACTGCATAAAGGTAACCTGGGAACTTGTTAAAATGCAGGTTCTGAGGCCCTGGACCAGACTTACTAACTCAGAATCTGGATACGGGATGTGAGAATCAGGATTTTTATCACGGTTCCTGGATGAGAAATACTGATTAGAACAGATCATATCACACTTAGGCAGATTTGGTTATGGTAAATGATAGTAATGTTAAATTTTGAAAAAAGTTATGTAACCATTTACCTAATTTATTTAAAGACTATTTGAAAAAATTGGATAATTAAATAATACTGAAGTAAGCATCATGTCTCTCTGGGCTATTGGAAGGAATCGCTAGCATTGTATACATAGGTGATGTGCCTAGAGTGGTGTCTGGTACCAAGTAAATGCTCAATAAATTAGTTTTAAGAGGAAAGCTCTGATGTAATAGCAAAACTATAAACACTGGAATCAGACTTGTGTGCTTTAGAATACTTGCACAAGATAGTCAATCATTTTGCAATGCCATTATTATTACTATCACAGTTATTGTTATACTTCTTTTCCATTCCCACTGCTGCTACCCAATTTAAAGTCTTACCATCTCTCACATGGTCTCTCGTTATGACCTTACTTGCTCTCACCTGCCTCCTGTTCCTCTCTAGACTCTGAAGTTCTACACATGCTAAACTAGGGGGTTTGTGCAAAATGCTAAGGTAACCTAAACTCTCCCTATGGCATTTGTCGTAATTCTCACTTGTGCTAACATTTCATCTTTGAGCACAGGGTGAAGAGGAATCATTGCAATAAAAAATAGGGATTTATCTACCTTTTCAAATATTCACGTATCAGACCTTCAGCTTCAGACATTTGTCCTCTGACAGTACAGTCTCCCAGCTGCAAGTTTGGATCAAATAGCCTTGACGTCCAAAAGAAATGCCCCTTTTTCTCCAAGACCTCCCCACGTCAAGGTCTTCCTCAGCTTGACTTTCCTCTGAAGCTGTTCCAGGATCAAACCATCCTTGCTTTCTCCCTTTATTGGCCATTAATCTGCAATACATCTGCATGACAGACATTTTATTTTTTAAGTGAACTACCCTTTCTTATATTGCTCTCCTTATTCCTTTCACATCTGTTCCCCATCTATGATAGGGCCTGTCTCATCTTTTCACATTTTCTATGTCATCTCTACTAGAACCTGACACACAGTAGCTGCTTAATATATAATATAATGTTGCCAAGAACTCAGTTTGTTCCTGGCACTAAGACTCAAATCAACCTTATGAGTTGGGTGCTATTATTGTTCCCATTTATAGATGAGGAAACTGAGGCAAATAAAACTTAAGTAGCTTGCCTAAAGTCTCAAAGCAATAAAAGGAGTGAAACTGGGGTTCCAAACTGGGAGTTTGACTACCCAGTATTTAATCTCCTTATGTTCATCAAATTATCAATCATCTTGAGTTGATCTGTGGCAAATCCTCTTCTTGCTGTGAGAAGAGCACACAAGGGGCCCAGCCCCAGGAGAGCATGAGCTTGGAGGTTCTCCATAATACTGACTGGCCAGGGACCTGCTCCCTTGTATCCCTCAGCACATCTCCCATGACTAGCCAATTAGTACTGAAGAAGAATGACGTACCAGGACAAAATGTGGGTCCTGGGT